AGGAGGAGGAGGAGGAGGAGGGGGGGATGACTGGGAGGGGGTGGATATCATGGCGGGGGCCATGATCTTTCCCAGATTTCGGGGCCCCTCTTCTTATTTCAGTACGTCCCTGGCCCCCCCGCTGGGCCGCGCACATGCCGTCGGTCATGTGTTGCACCCCCCCCTCTTGGACACCCCCTTCTTGGCCGGGGGTGTCCCGTCACGGCCAGCCTCGCCAGGCCGGGGTGCGTGAGGCTCGCCAGAATCGGGCCTCCGCGCTTTCTGCAGGAGCGCCCTGTGTCCGCTCGTTGGTGTGGTTCATCCGGGGCGCTGTGACGCGAACATCTCAAGCCCAAATGGGTACGGTGTGCTCGCCACCTGAGCCTCAAGGGGATCTTTGTTCGACTTCAGCGAGCTTGCGCCAATCGACATGCGTCAGATCGGGCCACTCCGCTCCGCAGGTGTCCGCTCAACTGAGGTAGACCCGTGCAGGAAAAGCACCTCACAGACTGGGACCCTGGGGACTTTCTCCCAGATCTGTGGTGACAGGGAAAGAGGGGGAAGGAGTACTAAAGAGAGGAATAAAGGACGCGTCCCGAAAGGGGAAGCGATCTTCTCTCAGCAGCCAGAGCATCGCGGTCAGCACTGACAGCCTGCAAGTCAGGCGAGCTGTCCTAGGCCAAGCTCTGTTCTTCACGCTTCGTGTATCCTCATCATGCCATCCATATACCTTGCCCATGAGTCAGCGAGCGAAGACCGGTATAACATAAACTTTCTGCCGTCGGGGACACCTGCCCCTGGGCGGCTGGAAAGTTTATACCCCTACGGTGCCACCGTAAGGGTATAAACTTTCCAGCCGCGCAGGGGCAGGCGCCCCCGACAGCGAAACAGTTTATGTAATACCGTTCTTCGCCCGTTAATCATCATGCCATCCATATACCCTGCCCATGATCGGGGGAGCGTAAGACCCGGGTTTGCCAGGACTCGGGTTCGCCATCGTTTTTTGACGACCGCGCCTCGGATTTTGACGAGGAGGAGTTTCGTGGGATGTCTGCAGCGGGAGGCCTCGTCAAAATGCAGGCTCGGCCTTGTCATTTTTTTGACGACCTTGTCGGGGATTTCCGAGTCCCCCGTACCCGGGTCTTACGTCTCCCCGACATGAGGGTGAACGGGAAAAAGGGACGACGCGACACGTGCAGTAACACGGAGCGGGCAGCCAGGGTGGACAGGGGCCAGGAGGAGGAGGAGGAGGAGGAGGAGGAGGAGGAGGAGCAGCCAGTAACACGGAGAGATCTTCGGGGGCACGGGGGCGACCCCGGAGGGCCTTTCTTCGGGTCCTCCCTGGGGCCCGCCGCGTGGGGGCGAGGGGAGGAGGGGGAGGAGGAGGAGGACGATGAGCAGGACGACGAGGAGGAGCAGGAGGAGGAGGAGGAGGAGGAGGAGGAGGAGGAGAAATACGACGACGACCACGACGACGAGGAAGAGGGGGACAGACGACAGCGAAAACGATGAGGGCAAGGACGAGGACGAGGAGGAGGACAACGAGGCCGGGGACAGAGCCCGCTCCCTTGGGGTCCTTTTGGGGCTCTCTTCGGGGATCTCGGGGCCCTCTTGGAGTTCTCTTGGGAGTCCTTTGTCTTGGAACATCTTGGAGGCCATCGACCAAAAGGGGGGGGAGTGTTAACGTTTGATCCCCCCCAGGGGGCCAAGATGGGCCCAAGAACTTCGTAACATCATTGACGTTGGCCTTCTCGCCGACCTTCCCGAAGGGACGAGAGTTCTGGAAAAGGGAAGATCCCGCCAGACCGCCTTAGCCCAAAGGGCTGGTGGCATTCCCCCATGGCTGGGAAAGTGAGTGTACGTTACATGCCCAGGCAGTCATAAAGATGAGCTTGACCCAAGAGAGGGGGACCGGGCATGTCGTCCGGTTGCTGGCCAAACAGGTCTGGCAAGCGGGCGTTCCTCAAGCGTCTTCGCACTGGGGGAAGATGAGGCAAGGCAGCGACTCATCAACTCGAGGGGAGGAGGAGGAATCATACTCTTATAGGCCCAAGGTGAGGTGAGGGAGGAAGGAGGATGGAAGCGGGAGGAGAGAGGCTGTTCTGAGTCGAGGCGGGGATTGTTGAACGCGTGCCTTCAGGTTCCCCGAAGGCCAGAACTCAATGTCTGAGCCCTTCAGAGGAAACCAAGACGTCGGAAAACCTTGATCCTCGAGGAGCGAGAGGGGATGACAGAGTGGCGAGGAGGAGGAGGAGGAGGAGGAGGAGGAGGGGAGGAGGAGGAGGAGAGGAGAGGGGAGGAGGAGGAGGGGAGTGGGGGAGCGAACGAGCGAGGGGAGACGTGCTGCTGCTGCCGAGGAGGCAGGACGTGATGTGGAAGGAGGAGGAGGAGGAGAGGACGAGGAGGACGAAGGGAGGGGAGGAGAAGGAGGAAAGGAGGAGGAGGAGGAGGCGGAGCGGAGGAGAGGAGGAGGAGGAGGAGGAGGAGGAGGAGGAGGAGGAGGAGGAGGCCAGGAGCGAGGAGGGAGTAGCGAGGAGCGAGGAGCGAGGAGCGAGGAGCGAGGAACGAGCAGGGGGAGGAGGAGGAGGAGGAGGAGGAGGAGGAGGAGGAGGATAATCGCGTCCCCGTGCCTGGTTCTGCACATCCGAGGTGTGGCTCTTCTTCCTCCGCGGCGTTGTGCCGCTGCTCGAGCGTTGGCTCGGCAATCTGCTTGCCCGCCAGTTCGAGGGCCGCGTGTCCAAAGGAGGGGGCGGGGCGGGGGGGACTTCCTCTTCCTCATCCCTCTGCCTCCTCCTCCTCATCATAATCATCATCATCAGCAGCATCATCATCATCGCTACTTTCTCCGCCCTCCCTCTTCTCTCGAATCCCTCCTCCTCGCTCCTCTTCCTGCTCCTCTTCTTACACTGTCCGTGCATTGTCTGTCTTCCCCCCCCCCTCCCTCCTCCCTCCTCCCTCCCCCTCCTCCTCCTCCTCCTCCTTCTCCTCTTCCTCCTCCTCCTCCTCCTCCTCCTCCTCCTAGGCTGCTGGGTCGAGGTTAGGATTTTGAGCGACCGAACCTCACGTACACTTGCACACCAGCGCCTTCAGCCCCCCCCCCTTCGCAGGCCCGCGCGGCATGGGGGCCTGGGAGGCTCCCATCGTCGTCGAAGCAGGGGCAGGAGGCACATCGTGGCCGCAGATCCGATACTGTACCTTCTGTTAGCATGATGTTGAATTGCACTGTGCCGCCTACTTGTATGACCTCTGCAATGAAGCGTCGAATGCGTATCCGAAGAACCCATGCAACAATGTCGCACAACAAGAAGTTTACGTATAATGGCAGAGTTTATTTCCAGCGAGTCGCTCGGTCTGGGCCTCCTGGAATCGGCAGGAGACGACACGTACTCGTACGGGGCACGCTCTCTCAAACCACCCCCAGGGTTAGAGTTAGAAGCGACGCTAAATGAGGACGCGCCGCCTGGACTTGAGAGTGATGGCCATGCCGCAACGGAAGCAGAACGATACTGCTCCGATTCCTACAGCACAGTCGACAAGGATGACTTTCAGCACGCCAGCGACTACAATTACACAGTTCGTTATTCTGAAGTACTAATCGCCTCATTTGGCAGCGATGGATTCATTTCACAGTTCTCAGCAGTTTTAGATGAATACCCCGACGGTCTAATTTCGCCTGTGGCACTGCCACAAGCAATTGCCTTCACTAGCGAGAACACTACGAGTTTATGGATCAGTTCTTGGAGGGGGTGGACAGTCATTTAGAAGATTTGGGCACGATTGCTAGACAGTCACAAACAACCACAGAGACCGCACCACATGCAGAAATCTCAGATAGCCAAGTCATCGACGGGGTTTTCGAAGCAGTGTTGACATCTCAATAGGGAGAACTGACAGCGAAAGCAATTTACCACAAACTTGGCAAACATGGAGCAATGATCTCAAATAACAAATCTTTTCGGCGCTGGAGACATGGATCGAAGTTGGGGCTGCCAGGAAATGCGGCAACATGGTTGAATTGCGGATTGGCTGATATCCCTTCAGATTTCTTATGCACGACTCGCGTTCGCACTTGCCTGTGATTTTTTTGCTTGGCATCTTGAATCAAAACCAGTACAAGGTTCATAAGATAAGAGCGCTGACTGGCTACTCCCAGCCCCCAATGGGGGCTGCGGCTGTCGCTTATCCGCGGCTCCCCCCCGTCCCTCCTCTTCCCCCCTGGTCGGGGGCCTTGGTTCCTGGCTTCGGCGGACTCCCTCGGCTCCACTCCCCTTCCCCCTCCCCCCGCTCGCCGCGCTCTTTCACTCTTTTTCAGGGGGTGGTGGATCGGTTCGGAAGGTGCGGAGGCTGCAGAGGTCCTCAGGAGACTGCGCTGGCTCGGAGGTGTGTGTGTGTGTGTGTGTGTGTGGATGTGGTTGCGAGGGGGAGGAGGAGCCAGCGTCCGATCCCCGCCTGCCCAGAACTTCGAACGTCTCCCATGGGGGGGGGGGGCACCGCCGTGCAGCCCCCCCCCATGGGAGGAGGAGGCGGAGGAGGAGGAGGAGGAGGAGGAGGAGGAGGAGGATGGGGTGGAGGAGGAGGGGAGGAGGAGGAGGAGGGAGGAGGGAGTGGAGGCGGGGAGGAGGAGGGGGAGGAGGAGGGGGAGTGAGGAGGTGGAGGGCGGAGGGAGGAGCGAGGGGGATGTGGAGGAGGAGGAGGGAGGAGGGAGGTGGAGGAGAGGGGAGGAGAGGGAGGAGGGAGGCGGGGGAGGAGAGGTGGAGGAGGTGGAGGAGGAGGAGGAGGAGGAGGAGGGCCGCCCGGCGCCTACAGTGAGCGGAGCCCCCAGAGTCGGAGGGCGCGCCCGAGAGGCACCCCCCGACTCCTGCCCTTTTAGGATGCCCGTCGAGCCGGCAGGGCCCCCCTGCAGCGGGGCAGCGAGGGCGCAGGATCGCGCGGCCGCGCACCTCCTCCTCCTCCTCCTCCTCCTCTTCCTCCTCCTCCTCCTCCCCGCCTCGCCCCAGGTAGTCTCGTTGGCCGCAGATGCGGCACAGGGGGGCACGCTTCCATAATACTCCCTAGGGGCCCCTGTAGGTTCGAGAGTTGCTGCAGACCAAGGACCCCCAATGGCCTTTACCTTTACCTTTACCTCCTCCTCCTCCTCCCCCTTCCTCCTTCCTCTCCTCCTGCTCCTCCTCGTTCTTCTCCTCCCCCATGCACGCCCTCCTTCACCCCCGCCTTCCCTCTGTTTCTCTTGCGCAATCATCCCTCTCCCCCTCTCTTCCTTCTCGTTTTCCTGCCCATCTCGACCTCAAGAGGACGGAGAGATCATGAGCATGGTCCGAGAAGGATACTCATGAAGTGGATGAGGATCAGCAGGATTGGGAGGAGAAGAGAACCGGATCATGTTGATGATGAATAGGGATTTGTGGAAGAAAAGGGGGATGATGATTCGGGGGAGGAAGATGAGGGGGGGAGGAGCGTCCCAAATTGTTGTAAAGCGCGCACGGAACGTGCGTGTGGTGTTAGTTTTCTCTCCTTCTCTCTCTCTCTGTCGTCGTCGTCATCGTCGTCGTCGTCGTCGGTTTCGTGTCGTCTCTCTGTTTCTCTCAGTTCCTCTGTTTCTCTCTGTCTCTCTGTCTCTCTCTCTCTTTCTCTCTCTCTCTCTCTTCTTGTCTAACCGTCTCTCTCTCTCTCGTCATCTCCAACCGTCTTCCTCACCTTCTGTTTATATTATATATTTACGAGTGTGCAGTAACTGGTACCGCGGCATTTTTTTTCTCTCCCTCTCTCTCTCTCTCCCTCTCTCTTTTTCTCTCTTTAAATCTGTGTATATATACCTATACGACCACCCGTCGGGCGATGAGGAGGTTTGGGGGGGGAACCAACGTCTCAGTCGATCGGTCTCACTATCGATCCCATTGTCGATCTCACGATCGGCCTCGTTGGATCGATCTCACCCGATCGATCTCAGAATCGACCTCACTCGATCTATTCCATTCGATCGATCTCACAATCGATCTGATTATCGATTTCACAATGGATCTCACTATCGATCTCACGATCGATCTCACAATCGATCTCACATTCGGTCTCACTATCGATACCACTATCGATATCACAATCGATTTCACAATCAACGTCACCATCATCATCCACATCATCGTCATCAACGTCACCACCAGCATCATCATCATCATCATCATCGTCATCGGGACACCATCATCACCATCATCATCACTTCATCACCATCACCATCAACATCATCATCATCACCATCATCGTCATCGGGACATCATCGTCGTCACCATCATCATCATCACCATCATGGGGACACCATCATCATCGGAACACCACCACCATCATCACCTCATCATTGTCATCATGAATAATTTCATCAACATAATCATCCTCATCGGGACACCCTCATCATCAGCAACATCACCATCAGCATCATCATCATCATCATCATCATCATCGAGCCACCTTCATCATCGTCACCATCATCATCATCACCATCATCATCATCGGGACACCATCATCAACATGAGCATCATCATCACCAGCTTCGGGCCACCATCGTCAAGATCATCATCGCCCCTTTATCCTCATCCTCATCATCAACATCCTCATCATCGTCGTCATCATCATCATCATCGCCATCATCATCGCCATCGTCCTCATCGGGACACCATCATCATCACCACCATCATCATCAACAGCATCATCATCAACCTCATCATCTTTATTATCATTGTCATCGGGACACCATCATCATCATCATCATTTTCATCATCACCATCCCACCATCATATCATTAGCATCAACATCATCAGGATCATCAACATCATCACCATCATCATTGACACCATCATCATCATCATCATCATCATCATCATCATCGGCCACATCACCATCATCACCACCACCATCATCATCATCATCATCATCATCGGGACACCAGCATCACCACCACCATCAGCATCATCATCAACATCGTCAACGTCATCATCATCATCATCACCATCATCGGGCCACCATCATCATCACCACCATCACCACCATCATCATCATCAACATCATCGACATCATCGACATCATCATCACCACCACCACCACCACCACCATCATCATCATCATCATCATCATCATCATCATCATCATCATCATCATCATCATCATCATCATCATCATCATCATCACATCATCATCATCATCATCATCGGGGACACCGACGGGACACCGGCGGAGACACCGCGCGCCCACGGGACGCCAGAAGGGAATCATGTGGTCCGGTCGCGCCTCAGCCACAGCGGGACACCAGCGGGACACCGCGCGCCACTGGTTGCCGGAAGGGAATCATTTGGTCCGGCCGCGCTTCAGCCACAGGAGACTTACCTCTCGCCCGCCCACGCAGCTTCGCCTCGCCCGCACGCACGGCACGCACAAAGACGAAACCGAAATCGATTTCCTGGTAGGGGGGTCCTTCGTTCCTTTTCGATCTCACCCCCTCACTTCTGATACATATGTCTGTATATCGGAGGTTGGGGGGTGAGTCCGACGTGAAGCGGAGACCCCCCCCTGCCGGGAAATCGATTTCGGTTTCGGGTTCGTGTCGTGCGTGCCGTGCGTGCGTGCGGGCGAGGCGAAGCTGCGTGGGCGGGCGAGAAGAATCAGGAGGGAAAAAAACACACAGACACAAGACACAATTAATCGTCGACTCCCCAGAAAATATGGGAAAATATGGGAAGTGGGGGGGAAGGCAGAAAC